CACACACACACACACACACACACACACACACACACACACACACACACACACACACACACACACAATTGGCCATAGAGGACATGGAGGAGGAGGGGGAAAAGCCTTTGTGCAGCAGGGAACATTGCAATGCGAAAAGAAACGGTTGGAAATTTTCTGGGGCATGCGTGCCCTCAGTGGAGTCTGTGAAACACACTTTCACAAAAATCTGAATGCCGTCCCCATTGAGCCTGTAAATGACTTCCCAGGCTGAGAGTGCTGCTGTTTGGACCCCCCCTAAACCACTCTCAAAGACGTTTCCAAATGTTGTCAGCATCCTTTGAGCTCTTGCCGAGGTCTACACCTCCATCTAGTACTTTTTTTTCCACGCACAGATAGATAGCAGTCTAAGCAGGGCAGTCTCTTCCCGTCTAGAGCTACATCCTATAGTCACAATGAGGTGCAATTGAGTGCAGAACACCGAGCTGAAAAACAGCAGGTCAATACCGACAAAACAACACCCATGCCAACCTTTTAAAAAATGGGGAAACCAAGCAGCAGCTCTCGATTGCTGCTGAACACAGGCCAAGGAGAGAAAAAGAAAGAATGATTTCGCTTTCGCTCTGGCCTGTTTCTCTCTTTGGCAATCTCTTCTTTCTATCCACGGCCTTCTGCAGTTCATGCCCCCACTGCCATGTCCTACTGCTGTTCATTCCCCCACTCTCACGGCTCACGCTTGCTTCGTGTTCATGCCCCAACTCCCATGTCTGACTGCTGTTTATGCCCCCCACTCCCATGTCTGACTGCTGTTCATTCCCCGACTCTCGCGCTTGATTCTTGTTCATGCCCACACTCCCATGTCTGAGCGCTGTTTATGCCCCCCATTCTCACGTCTGATTGCTGTTCATGCCCCCACTCTCACGGCTCACGCTTGATTCGTGTTCATGCCCCCACTCCCATGTCTGACTGCTGTTCATTCCCCCACTCTCGCGCTTGATTCTTGTTCATCCCCCCACTCCCATGTCTGAGCACTGTTTATGCCCCCCCCTCTCACGTCTGATTGCTGTTCATGCCCCCAATCCCATTTCTGATCTTTCAGTATGATCTTCCTTGAGTGCTCTGTCTTCAGCACAAATCTTTTTCGATGGAGGTATGCCAAAATCCACCGGTTCCAAGGAAACTTGAAAAACCAGATAGAAAATTGGACTACTGGCAGCAGCCGGGGTGGCAACAGTTTTGGACCTACCGGTAGCAGCAGAGAGCAATGTTATACAAACTCTGGACACCATCTGTTTTTTCCCCCATCGGAGGTTTTTTCCCCTCATATCTTTCCCAGAAAGATAAAAGGCACCAACTCTAAATTTTTGTGCACTGCCGCTAAACCCCCCCAGCCAGTGCAATCACTGGCAGGGCCAACTTCAACGAAGGGGGGCGGCCGGGGACGGGGAGGCGGGGGCGGGGGGGAGGGTATGGGGCTGAGGGGGGGAAGAGGGGGGAAGGGACTGGAAGTTTAAACCACCAGTACTTGGCCCATACATCGGCCGCGGGGCTTGTCGTTAACGCCCCACAACTTCCAGAGGCTCGGGGTACGGGCCCTCAAAGGCTGGCGCCGCCAGCCAAAACAAGTTTTTCTTGTTGCGCTGGCGGGTCGGAGCGAAACGGCGCACAGCCCGTTTTCAGGTTCGGCATTGATAGCTGGGCCAAGTACTGGTGGTTTCATACCTCGGATATCATCCTAAACAGAGTAGGTCAGTTCAAAATCTTACCTCTCTCGTCCCTACATACCCCTTTCATCCCTACTTGCCGCACACAAATCCCCAAACATAAATCCCCTTGATATATTCACCTCGGTCACATAATGCTCGAACTTCAAACAACTACCTTCTTCCCCCGAACATAAATCCCCAAACATCATGACTGTATTTGGACCGGCAAATGCTCTATGTACGAATGCACGATTGACAAATCCTCACCCTACATCTCAGTCGTCTTGGCCTAGACATGGTGGCTGGCTTCCATTCTGCACCCCTGCTGCACAACAGCTACAGCATTTTAGGCCATCCTTCTGTGGGCAACAGTGCGCATATGAATCAATCCCCTGGGTATATGCATGCTATATACAACTGAATAAACTAGTCTAGCATGAGGACTAAGCAATGCGAGTGGTAATCATATTATTAATCAAGCAATTTACAAAGACTTATGAGAGAAGGTGGGCATTATACAACCCTCCTACACCGCAGACTTTATAACAGGATTCTATTTATGAAAACCTATGTTGCAGCCTGTCTGAGTTTACCATCGACTTCAATGAAGCAGGGCCTACGTAAGAAGCCTGCGATCCACACCGAGGTTAAGGTTACCTTGAGACACATTTTGTCATCAAGCTATTGAATCACAAATCTGTACTGTAGTCATCCAGATTTATTTCCCTTGCACCTTAATCACTCTTAACCTCCGTCGTCGAGAGTCATTAATTACGAGGCACAGGCAAGATGCTCCTCGTAAATCCTAAACATAGCCAACTCCTTTTCGTACACAAATAAGATCCACGTTTTTCGCAAACTTGCTCTAGCCATGCAGCTGTGTTTTGAGCTTTCCTGGCTAGGCGTCTATGCCGCAGATTTCTTGCTCTACCCAAAGGACAGACCTTTGCCCAAAATTCCCCAAAAGTATGCCTTTTGAATCATCCTCCATACCCAAAAGCCCTAGTACAGGCCCCAGGACTAGTCTAGAGGCATCCAATAGGCCTCCACTCTATGCCGCAGATTTCTTGCTCTAGCCAAAGGACAGACCTTTGCCCAAAATTTCCCACAAGTATGCCTTTTGAATCATTCTCCATACCCAAAAGCCCTAGTACAGGCCCCAGGTCCCAGGGGCCCTGTGTCCCAGCCATACGACAGGCCTCAAGTCCCAGGTCCCAGGCCCCATGTCCCAGCCATACGATAGGCCTCAAGACCCAGGTCCCTACCTTACTGACGTAAGCAAAACCCCTAATACAGGCCTTCGCCCCTTGTTAGGCCATATCCAAAAGGTCGGAGTTCCACCCACAAATGGCAATAGGCTGCTAATTCGACCTCCCCGTCCTATTGCAAACCCTAAATACATTTAGGCTTGGTTACAAATTTCCAGGGCTTAGCCAAAACTCAGACCTTGGCCCAGAATCGTCCAAAAGCCATGTCTTTTACATTTCAGCCGACAAATCTCTCTTTGCCCAGCCTCGGACGCCTAAACTGTTGCGAGTCCGATCTCCAGGGAGGCCACCAGCTCAGCCAGTCTGGTAGCGGCGGTAAGCCAAACCGCACCGACCGGAGGCCCTCTTGTGCACTGGCACAATCTATAGAATCATCATTTCCAAAAGGGGACCTTTTGGACCTTCCTGCCATATTCGAAGTGTTAATACACATAGCCTCCCCAATCCCTATCACAGATCTCCATGCCCAATCCAAAGGTCCCACCTTTGCCCCCACATATTGTCGAAAAAGGGGCGCCTTTTGGAATGCCTTGCCCAACCCAAGTCCCCAACCAGGTCTCAAGACCCCTTTCACAGCCCTCTTGGCCCTGTACCCATCAGCTGCAGAAGTGGGGCACCATCCAGGTATCCCTAATTAGGAATGCGACAGACTTCTCACAATGTGACCAAGAAAGTTGTGGAAGTGAAAAAAAAAAAAAAAAAAAAAAAAAAAGAAGAAGAAGAAGAAAAAGAAGAGGAAAGTTGCGGAAGTTGAACACCACACAAGGGGCCCTAAGTAGGAATGTCACCAAATAAGCCATGGACGCCGAGCATCATACAAGCCCGCATAAAAGCACACAACTGCTCACAAAAACACATTAACACACAACTTTGTGCACAATTAAGCCGCCAACTCAGATGTGCACAAAGCCGCCAACATAGATGTTTACTCTAACCTCTCTCTAAGCATTAGTCCATGAAATGCAATCTCCATTGAGATTGACGGTAATGAAGAGTCTCTTGGAAAACGCCTCTTGCGTGCTTGATGATCTTCTCATCGAACAACGCAGATGGAATACATGATTGCTCTTTTGATCTGCCTCTTCATCGCCAGCCGACCTGTAAGTGAGTTTGCTCGATTTGCTCTGTGCCAATTGCTGTTCAAAGTATCGTGAGTGCGTGAAAACCGTCGCTGTTTCCTAGGCATCAGAAATCGGAAATAGTACAAATACCGATTGTTGTTTGCTTGGGGCTTATTTTCCAAATGGGGTGAAAATTGTAGGATGTAGACAAGATTTACCAACCTGAAATTGTGCATATCCTGCACTTGGATAGATGAAACCACCTTCAATTGACTTGATGTCATACAGGGTAACACACAGACCCGAATCTCGAACGACCTGAGAACCAAAACCATAGATGTTCGAATTTAAGGGATTCAGAATCAAAGGGGAAGGTGGGAGGGGAGGGGC